ACTCCCATAAACATAAATTTTTTAACCTTTCGGCAGAGAGATAATACAGTAACACGTGCCATCGTATGCCCTTCTATGAGTCCGTCCATGTCTACGAGGAGAATTACGAGGCTCAACTACGTGAGACTTTGGAAACCAATCTCAAAAGGTGAGGATGGTGTATGACATGGATTTGGAATTGAGGGGTATTTGTGATTGCTTATTCGAAACTTCTTATTCTTTTCTATAAAAACATTTATCAACTTATTACAAGATAGAAAGGTTTAACTTCTTAAAAAACTTCTTATTACCGATTTGACACGGGTATAAGTTGTTTATCTAAACACTCAAAAGTGCTTATTATCGGTGGCACACCGCAATAAGTCAATAAGTTGTTTTTATAAGCAATCCCAAACACCCCATGAATTCCATACCAACCTATTGCTCGGTTTAAAATATTTTACAGATTTGAAATCTCACAAACATACGTTTTTCATTTATCATTTCGATTCCAAATCTTTCCGCAAAATCCAAATCCCTCGAAACCATTCCATTAAGGATTGTTAAAGACAAAACACACGTGTTCTATTATGTTATTCTCAAACATAAAACGTCAATTTCTATTCCGTCATGATTATGGTTTTGTCGAATAAATTAAGGCCGTCTATTAGTGGATACAACCAATTTAACAATTTGGATCTTGTCAAACTCAAGAAAATAGATCAAATTGCGTGTGTATAAAAACAAAATGGAACCAACAAAACCTATTTACAGAAAGAGAGCTTTTTTTTAAGAAACTAAATCCGCCATTAATGGCGGAAACATCATTTATGGGCATTCGATGATGAATACTGTTGTTGAAGATCAACCAGTTCCAGATCTTTTTGCCTCAACAAAAGCACCATTCTTTCATTCTCAAGCTTCATCCTTTCATTCCTCAACTTCTCCACCTCCATTTCCCTTTCTTTTTTGCAGCTGAATTTAACCCATTTCAATCTTTGCTTCTCCAGTTCATACGATTGACCTTGAAACCCTACTCTTTGTTCTTCCAGTTGCATCATTCTTCCCTTCATCCATTGCCTCTTTTCCCATACGCTTTTTGTTAAATCCTGAATCACACAGCTTATTTCGCCTCTAAATTGTTGGATTATGCTCTCATGGCCGTCGTTATCACCGGTTCTACCCCTTTTCCGGCTGGATAAACCCTCATCTTCTTCGTCATCGGGGTGATAACGGTCGCCGTCGCCGTCGTCATCCTCCTCATCGCCGTCACCGTCGTCGTCTTCTTCCTCCTCGTTGTCGTTTGAATGCACACAGTTCTGTCTGTGGTGTGTGTACGACGGAGGTTGTTCGGTTGTTGTAATTTCCGGTGGCGATGAATGGTGAGCTGCACCGCTTCCGCCGCTACCGCCGCCGCAGCTGTTGTGATAAGCACACATTTCTCTGAAGAAAAGGTGCTTGGAATTGAGTAATTTCTTGGCTTCTTCCTTCATCTTCGCCGGCAAATGATCCATTGATTCCAGCAAGCTTTGATTCTCGACAACCTTACAAGCTGTTCCTTTTCCCAATATGTCGTTAACCCTTTTGTATCTTTTATTCAAATCATTGAATTTATCTTCACATTGTTGTGGAGAAACGTAAAACCCTCGTTCCATCATCGCCCGTGAAACCGATTTCCATTTCCCTTTTTTCTGCAAAACCCCACCTCCTCCGCCGCCGCCCTTCTTTTTCGCCGCCGCCGTATCGGACCCCGGGGGTTGGTCGGACGCCACTTCATCTCCGATGTAGAAAACCACCATTATCAGCAACCTCACCATATTATCAGTCCATTTCATTCTCTGCCAAGGAGACCCCTTTCTCAACTTCCCATCACCACTCCCGCCACCGCCACCGCCGCCACCACCACCGCCGCTATCCTCCGTAGTGGAGGGATTGTTCACATTGTTGCTATGAGGTTCTTCTTCATCACTGATTGGTGAAGTTCTCTGCTTGGGAGCATATGGGTAGGCTTGCTTTGCACCGCCACCACCGGATGCAGCAGCGGCGAACGGTGGTTGCTGGTGGAGGAAATTGGGGTTTTGTTGTGGATGATGATGATGGCTTAATGACATTTCAAGCCCTAGCATTCCAGAACCACCAGACGAACTAGAGAAGATGCCATTTGTATCCATTGAAACAGCTTCAAAAACCAGTCCAAACTTCAAGAACAAAAAAAAAAAACTCAAATTTAAACCACACCCACGAACTGAAGTGACGATCAGATGAAAACCCAGAAGTTAGAATCTGCAAATTTGGAGTATTATTGGTAGGGATGAAGGTGGGGATGGGGGTGAGATATAGTGGATTTTGGGGGAGGGGAGCAGCTGGTTTTGCAGAAAGAGTTTGGAGGTTTTGGTTTTACCGACAACTGATAAACATCCTGCCCATTGTTTTGCTTTCTGCCACCCTCTTTAAGATATATAGATACAGACGTCTGTATGTATATATATGTTGTTGGAGTCCACAGGAATTTGTAAAACTGTCAACTCAATTATTTATGTATATATATATATATATGAAGTTGACATTTTGCTTCATACGAGGTTCAATCCAAAAGATCTACGCTTAAATTTCAGTGACACGATTAATGTTAATCATCGGTTTTTTAAAAAAATGTTGAAATATAAAGTTTGATTTTATTTTTGATTTACAAGAGGTTTGTTAAAGTCTGAAATCTGAATCAATTAAATCGTTTGTTTTTTTGTAAATCGTGGATTGAAAATGGTTTGGTATGGGAGGTCGATCGGGGATATGAGCGAATAAGAAGTGAATAAGAGTTTCTGAGAAAAAAAAAAAAAGACAAACGATCTGAATGACTTTACCTCTTACTGAATTAGATATAAGAGGCTAATAAAATGTTTTTTTTAATCAAACACTACCTTATATTTGATCGACTTAATACCGAGTTAGATATAAGAGGCTGATAAAAGGTTTTTTTTTTAAATGAACACCTTCTTATATTTGATTTTGACTGAAGTCAATTAAGGTATGTTATAATTTTATTAGGATAAAATATTAAAAGTCAAAATTCTGAAAGAAAATTACATATAACTCAAACATCTGTTTTATTTTAGTAATTCTATCACTAACTACAATACTAAAATATTGAATATCTTTAACAAAAAAATAATTTCTCTCACATTTAATTTCGGTATCTATTATTGGTGGAAAAAGAATTAGAAAATTACTTATTTATTTTTTAATAGAGTTGTAGAGATTTCTTTAAATTTGGAGATTTTCAGCTCTTCTGTAATCTTTTCTCTGGTATAAAATCTCTATTTTAGCATAGTTGTTGGAGATTTTCTTAGACAATAAAAATCATATTTATTTCACTTTGTTCAAATAAAAGTTATACCGTTTGTATCTGTATGCATCATGATCCCGATTCATGGATCTCTCGGCTCGAGAAAATAAAAAAGAGGATCCAACCGTCTCTTTTGACTCTTTTTTAGATCCACCAGATGCTGGTTGATCGGAACACTCACGACTAATTGGGAGAAAGAGCGAAATCGAGAATTATCCATTGGAAATCGATAGAAATTCTATGGGTATTACCTTCTCTGAAGAAACCGAGGTTTTTACTACTGGTTCTTATTTCATTTTCAAATTAATATAAATTGATAATCATTGTTAATTAAATTCAAATCAAAATCATATTGCAACAAAAGAATATAGTAAATAATAATTTGATAAAATGATTAGATTATTTTAATTTTACTGAAAATTTATATTAGCTGATTTAATTGAAATTGGTAAAAATATAATATAAATTATTCAATAATAAAGCTTAATAGAGGTCTTAGGTTCGGGCGCCTCTTAGTTTGAAAAATTCAACTTTTTTTAACCAACCTAAACGCGGGTTTCCGGGTCAAATATCGACCCGCCTGACCCAGTCATAACCCAAATAGGCAGGAGCCATCGCTGCACGTTTTTGAGCTTTTTAAGTTCTAATATGGCTCGTTTCTTAACCCTTTTTCTTCATTCTTTTTGTACCAAACCCTAAGTAATATTTTCACCAACATTTTGACATAAAGAACACAAATTTTTAGTAAGAAATGAATTTCATTTTTTCATTATTTTTTTTAAAACTAAAACTCAACAACTTGAAAACACAAAATCGAACCATCTAAAAACAAATTTGAGATATGAGGCTATTGGGGTTTAATAGAGTACTTAAAATAAAAGTATAGATATAAAAATCAAGAGATTTGATTAAGAATATCATTCAAAATCGGTGAAAAACCAAGATTTTTAATTATGAACTTCAAACTCAAATTTCTCTCTCAAAACTCAACGGTTTTATTAGCTATTTGAATGAAAACGATCCTAAGCTGATGCCCTACATTTATATGCAAGAGTTTTGACTTATTAGTTGAAGAAACCAGACCAAATCGCGAGTTTTAAGCTATGAGGAAGTTTTCTCCAAACATACATGTATTATTAGCAAAGCAGGTCCTCATACTTTGAAAATGATGACATTTAACTCCTTGAAGTTTTTGATATTTACATCTAGCCCCCTACTCTCACTATTGGACTCACTTTACACTTTCTTTTACCTCTAATTCAATTTTCTCCATGTCATTTCTTTTGATTATCTTCTATTTATTGATTCTCTTATTTAGAGGTTGCTAAAATTAAAAGTCATAAAATAGCAATCTATTTTCATAAATTTCTTTATTATAGCATTGTACTTCCAGTTTTTCTTATTACAACAATGTACTTTCAAACTATTTTTTATTAGAACATTGTACTTTGAAAAAATTACTTATTATAGCATTGGATAATATTTTAATTTAAATTTAACCATTATACCAGGTTTCCATGCCACCTCATTGTCCACGTAGATTGTCCACATGTACTATAATGATGTGACTTTTCTTATTACAACATTGTACTTTCAAAATTATTTTATTATAACATCTACTAGTTCTTATTAAACAATGTAATTTTAATTTTAATATTTAGATTTTACATGTTATTTA